CGTCTAGAGGTGCTTTAAAATCTACGGGAGAATGTTTATAGGTCGTGTGCTAATACACCCTTAATTAAGGAGCTTGAGCATGTGACAAGTTTGGTGTCCAAGGGATCCTGGAACCATTCTCCTGTGAATGCCAGCAGATGGCTAAACAATCAAACTCATAATGTTATAATACTTGAAAATCAATCTCCCCGCTGGGCATTGTAACATATGCCTGTCATGCCAGCACTCTGGGAGGCTGAGGCAGGAAGATCACAAATCCAAGCCCACCTGGGCATTTTAGCAACGTAGTGAGACTCTGCCTCAAAATAAAAAGTCTCCTATAGGCAAGCATTATTTTGAGTTGCAGCTACAAATATAACAGTTTTTCAGTAGTTTCCAGTTACTGTTTTAATCCAATGTGAGTACCCGCAGTGGTGTTGTTTTAAAAAATTGTTTATATTGTCATATACTGACAGTACTTTAAATCATCATTTTCCTTCTTATTTCACCCATGTAACACATGCAAAGAAATCTGGAGTAGAACAGAGCGTTGGGTGTTGGGAGAAGTTGGATTCAGCAGGTGCAGGCAGTAATGAAGGCCCGCCTCGGGCGGTGATGCTGCCCTGTCTTCTGGGCTGGCTTAGCAGCAGGCCACCTCCTCCCTCTTACTTGCTTTACTGCACTGCAGCCACCCCTTCTGTCAGAGCCTCTGCCACCTCTGCCGGTGATAGGCCTGGTCCGATGGTCTGGCAGCTGAGGAGAAAGGGGGAAGTCGGTCCTTTCCCTTCCCTCGATCCGGTCATGGGCTCTGGAGCCCAGGCCAGAGTCTGAATGTTATAGAGGGCTTGTGTCACTAGCACTGTGTGCTGAGATTCTAGCTGTCCGTGCTGCCTTGGATTAGTTGGGTCTGAGCTGTCACTGTGAGTCTCCTCTGCATCTCCACACACCGGGACATGGGCATATGGCCTGTTGGCTCCCTTCCCAATTCCCCGAGTTTCTGGTGGGTTAGATTAACTGGTATGTTGGTGCTTACTTTTTTTTTTGACAGGAGAAGAATAAAGCTGGAGATCTAAAAACAGCTGCTGAGAAAACAGCTACAGACAAGAAACGAGAACGGAGGAAAAAGAAATTTCAAAAGCGTTTGAAAATAAAGGAGAAGGAGAAGCGGAGAAAATTGCTTGAAAAGAGCAACTCAGGTCAGGCAGGGAAGTACAGCAGAGCAGTAGCTTCAGAGAAGTTGAAACAGCTGACCAAAGCCGGCAAAGCCTCCTTGTTAAAGGTAAGGACGGGGAGAGGGGCTGCTGGGGCCCTTTGGGGCACAGAGGGCCTGCAGAGCGCTGCCCTTGACACGAGCTCGAGGCACAGCTGCCTGTGGACGGACACGCACGCAGCTGCCTGGCAGCGAGAGGGCCCTCGGCGCCCTTCCGGTTTTCCTGAGGTCTTCACAGTAACCTAGGCCTGGTCGCTGCTTGTATCCCTTTCCGGTCTCCCTCAAATTTCAGGAAGGTTACAGCGGCACAGAATGTACAGAATACCTCGATGCTACCTGAGGCCGAGTTTTGTAATTCTAGTCTTTTTTCGAGTTTGTACTGTTATAAATGCAAAATAAACATGTATGCCGTTACACGTTTTTCCACATATCAGTGCATTTTGTAACATGAGCATGTATTGTTTTTAACTTCAGGATGAAGGCAAGGACAAGGCCCTAAAGTCGTCTCAAGCATTCTTTTCTAAGTTACAAGATCAAGTAAAAATGCAAATTAATGATGCAAAAAAAACAGAAAAGAAAAAGAAGAAAAAAAAGGATATTTCTGTCCATAAATTAAAGCTGTAATATATTTTGAATATCATGTATATATTAATGTGTAAGCATCTATCTGTGATTGTTCTGTTTTATAATAAAATTGTTGAGAGCTGTCTTGGCATCAGTGGCGGATAGTCGAGCCTTCCACAGCGTGATGACAGATGCTAGGCAGCGTTTGGAAGGCGGGTCTGGGTGTTGGAGCATGAGGTGGGACCTTGCTCCTGAGACCCTCCCTTCCTGCCCTGCTGCTGCCTGAGCTGCTTCCTCGGAGCCCGGCCAGCTCCAGCACACTGGCCAGGGGGCCAGAGCTGGCCTGCAGGCTGAGAGAAGGCAAGCGGAGAGGCAGCTGCCTTCCTCACCACCAGCTGTTACAGCAGAAGCCCCTTCTGGGGTCTCAATCTTCATCTTCCACAGTCCTGTCATTTTGCCAAGCAGAATTTCATGCATATGCCTTCTGTCTTTCCCTTTGGAAAATGATCTTGGAGTGTAGACTCTAGAGCACTGTGCATAAGCAGATGTAAGGAGGGCAGGTGTGGCTACAAGTGAACCCTGAGGCTCAGTACAGCTTGGAAGGGAGACCGGCAGTGTGCAGAGACCCGTCTGTGACCACCTAGGGGAAATGCCTTTGACTGTTTGATAAAGAGTCTCAATATGATTTCATGGAAACACATTAAGCCTTTCCAGATGGGTAGAAGATGAGAAGACATTCAGCCAAAGCAACTGGAAAAGCCCTTCTGAGTTTTCATCTACAGAGGCCAATCACGGTGGTGAAGATCAAGTGGAGGTTTTTTTATTAATGCAGAAACTGGCTACAGCAGGAGAGAACAGGTTATATCAGGCTAGATTAAACAGTCTTGATCTGTTTTTGTTGCTGTAACAATACCTGAGACAAGGTCATTTATAGTCAACAGAATTTCTTGCAGCTGTAGAAGCTGGGAAAACCCAAGACGAAGGCACCAGTAAGTTTGGTGTCTGAGGAGGTCGACTTTCAGAGTGGTGCCTTGTTACTATGCCCTCATAGCAGAAGTATGGAAGGGCTGAACTCACTTGGGCCTTTTACTAAGAGTTCTAATCCTGTACAAAGGACTCTGCTCTCTGACTTAATCACATTCTAAAGGCCTCACCTCTTAACACTTATCACAGTGGCCACAGAGGTTCAGGACATGAATTTTGGGGAACACTCAGTGATGGTGAATCTTCTTTTTTTTTTTCCTCAGTACCGGGGATCAAACTCCGGACCTCGGGCTTGCTGGGCAGGCACGGTGCCACTGAGCTACATCCTTGTCCCTGGTGAACCTTTTAGAGACACGTACCAAAACTGTAACCCAGAACCCACTTACCACTGCCAACACTGCAGTTAAACCTGAATATGTGTGCTGAGGTTTTAGTTTAGCAAAAACAACTCATACATTAACATCTTTTGTCTTAAAAGAAAAACTAACATGCGTGGCATAGGTTCGCCACCACCGACAGACCACATTGCCAGTCGGTGCATAGCTGTAACTTCCAAGTTTAATTCCAAATAGAGTTCACTACTGTGCCTTTGTCCTCAAATGAATATTTTGAGGAGCCTTCTTCCTGTAGCCTTAGTGAAGTGTCATATTTCAGTGATGATTTGAGTACTAGATGTCCTTGGGTGTTTCTCTTTTGTGGCTCTTTTAAAATTCAAACTGCCGGTCTTCACTCTGCTGCCCTACTTCTCTTGCCCTTGATTATTTCATAACAAGCTGTCAGGATCAGGGTGTCTGACCTGGAGCGAGGAATCATTTTATCTAGCCAAGGGCAGTTTGATATTTGCAGAGTTGAAATTACTTTCATCTTCTCTTTTTAAGTATTTTCACATCTGGGGAGATGCATCCACCCATTCACTTTTTCAAAGTAATATCTGATACATTCTAAAGATCATATTCTACATTATTGCTTTTAGCCAGGCATGTTTGTCAGTATCGGGTAAACTGAATAAAACAAGATTCTTACTCAGGAACAATGCATTGTAGGGGAATATTTACACACTTCTTGTATATAAATTGGAAGCACAATAAAACATTTAAGAAACAATCTTTGACCTAAAAACACTTCACCAATCCCCAGAGAGAGAGCTAAAGGAGTAACCATGGTTACTTGAAGTGGGTATTTATCCATTTGTACTTATACATACTTGACCACATGTGCATGTATCCCTAGCACCTAACTTTGCTAGTATTTGAATTTTATGAAAATAGAATGCTGTAGGTTCTTACAAAACTTGCTTTCTCCTTTGTTTGATTTCCCTCAAATTTATTCACAATACAGCCCTCAGTATCTGTGGATTCCACACCCATGGGTTCAACCAACCATGGATCAGAATTATTTGGAAAAACACTGCATCTGTACTGAACATGTACAGACTTATTTCTTGTCATTTTCTAAACAATACAGTATAACCTTTACACTACATTTACATTTTCTAGGTATAGGTCATCTAGAATCTGTCATCTAGAATGTGCACTTGAGAACATACTGTTAAGTGAAATAAATCAGACACACAAGCTCAAATGTCGCATGGTTTCTCTTATATGAGCTCAAATTATAAGAGCAAAACAGAAGGAAGTAGGGAGATCTTTTTCAGATGGGAAGGGGATGGAGAGATGGAGTATTTAGCGCTACAGCTTTGTATTCATTTTTAAGTATGCATTTTTTGGTACCGGGGATGGATGCATACATTTTCAGTTGTTTTAAGAATACAATATCCAGGGCCAGGGATGTAGCTCAGTGGTGCCGCGCCTGTCTCACAAGTGCAAGGTCCTAAGTTCGATCCCGGTACCGAGAAAAAAAATAACAATATCCATCCTTATCACAGTCTATGTAGAGTTAGTAACTGTTACATTCGCAGTCCTATCCTTTTTGCTGTTGTTGCATATGTTTCATCTACCCAGCCAGAGAGGTCTGCAGGGGCGCGCCAGGCGGCCGCCTCCTCAGATGTGAAAGGAGAGTTGCTCGGGGGCCTGGCTCCTGGAGGCCACCCGCCTGCGCGGAACCGCTCAGGTGGAAAGGAAGGGAGATCGATCACTCGAGCCTCCACTTGCCGAGCCTGTGGAATCGAGGCGCGGGGCATCCGCTGGGAATGCCTGGAGCGCGGCGCGCGGAGCCAGGTGGGAGGTGCGGCGGGACCGAGGACGGCGGCGGCGCGCGGGTTGCGGCGGGAGGACGGCAGCCGGGCGGAGTCGCGCGGCCCGGGCGCTCGCCAGGTCGGGGCTCCGTGGCGGTGGCGATCACGCGTGTTCGCGAGGTGTGGCCTGGACGCGGCAGTCACCGGGGCCGCGCGAATGGGCGTCGTCCACCCGGAGAAAGTCACTGATGCGGGTTGTGCAAAAGGCTCCGGTCACAATTTACTCTTTTTTAAAAGTGGTAATTTTACATCTTAAGTCTTTACCCTTACAGGCCTCGCGACGTCATTTTAGGGAAGGGACACTGAAACCTTGTCCAGAAGTAGCTTCCAGCGTGACCTCGCTTGGAGCCCGCGTTATCCGGAGAAATAGTCCGCTCCACGTTTGAAAGACGTTTCCAGCCCGCCCTTTCCTTAACTCGGAAACGTGTTTAACCCTTGGGTGTTTTATTTTGCAGGAAGAAGCGATTGCCTAAAGGATTGACACGAGGTTACGTAGAATCCTACCTTTTATTAGTTCAAGCCAAAAGAGTAAAGATAAAACATGCCATCTTTCACCTTAGCCTGTGTAGCTCTACGACTTGGACTACACTTTTTACCCTAATACTGTACTCATGATGCCAGAAGGGAAATCTCCTGACAAAAAAAGACCCCGTAGAAGCTTATCAACTAGCAAAACTAAAAGCAATGCCTCTAACTCTATCATTTCATATTTTAACAATGCACCACCTGCTAAACTTGCCTGCCCCATTTGTAGTAAAATGGTGCTCAGGTACGACTTAAACCAGCACCTCGATCAGATGTGTGCTAACAGTGATGTCATTCATGTTGGTCCAGTGCAGGTTGGCTTAATGAATTCAAATTCATCCACAGCAGAGTTAACCAGTGTTGCCTCAGAAGATGTGACCCCAGAGACCCCATCACCACCAAAGACAAGTTTAATCCCTGGCCAGAGTGATTCGGCAGAAGTGGGTGTAAAACAGACCAGTCCCTACTTTAAAAGTGATGATGCCATAGTATGCAAAAATCAGGAAGAGTTGAGGAATCATAATGTGAAAGTCATTTCTTTGGGAAGCCTGTCATCTAAACTGTCAAGAAAGTACATGAAGGCCAAAAAGTCCCTAGATAAGTGTGAAGAATTTGCCAGTCATTGTCCACAGAGTTCCATATCCACAGCTGTTAGGAGCCTGGCTGATAACAGTTCAGAAATTGAGGATGAGGACAAAAATTTGAGTACTCAGAAGGAAAACATTTTTACATGTGATTCTCTAAAGGAAGAGAATACTCTTGAATGTATGGTAAACAGTAGTAAAATAAGAGAAGCTGAAAGCCAAAAGGCTACCCAGGAATGTGGGAAATTAGCCCTCAGCCCTGGCTTGTCAGATAAAGCTCTCATAGGATTTTCATCAGATTTAACTCTTGGGGAAAATTTCAAGTCCACTTCAGAAGATGGGGCTGTAAAGCAAGAGAACATCAGAGGAGTAGATGATAAAGATGTTGAAAAATGTGAGAGGTACAGTTGTGAAGAAGTAGAAATCACTGTTGCTTCAGAAGTTAAAACACAGTTATCAAGTTCAGAGGCAAAATCTAGTTCCACAAATGATGGTTCTAAATGGAGTGACATCCATGAACAACTTCTGGAGGATGACAGCGTCCTAAAGAATAAAGTAGTTTGCAACATTCCTCTGGGGCTGGGGTCAGGTTGTGATGTTCCTGGTGATGCAGCTGTAACACCCTCAAGTCATCCTTACTATCTGCGGAGTTTCCTCCTGGTCCTGCAAGCCGTGCTAGAGAACGAAGATGACAGGCTGCTCTTTGATGAGGAGGATAAGGAAGTTATAAGCACATTTTATCAGTTATCAGGTATCTAGCCTGTTTGCTTCTGGATGGTTTCCCTTTCGCTGTCCTGCTTTGGGGGTGATGTGGTGGGTGGCGATCCGATGGCCACAAGGAGTCGCTGTGGTTTTGTGAATTCTCTGTGGGAGTCGTAATGGGAACCGAGAGCCTCCCAAAATCGTCACACGGGCTCCTTTATCCCCGGGAGTTGCAGTTCTTTGCTTGGGTGCTCATTGCATTCATGTGATTGAGTAGTTGGTGGCTCTGCGCTTCCACATTATTGAGAAGTAGGAACAGTTTTCCTAGTGCAAGTTCATATTTTTATATATTGCTCTCCGTGGAGACTGGACTGCAGTATGTCTTAATGTGAAAATAACTACTGCTAGTTGATTTTGCCTCTTTAAAGAATAAAAAGGAAAGTAAATATTGGAAATTTTAAAACTACGATTACATTTTAGAGCTGGCAGAAATTTAAGGATAATTCAGGTAATTAAGGAAATAGACTAAACCGATTCAGAAGTTTAGTATACATTACTGAGATAGAAATCACTGTCCTACCGAAGATAGGCATTTTTTGGAAAATTCTTTTCAGATTATTTTCAACCCAGGAAGAATACCATATATTGAACTAAAAGAGAACAAAACAACTAAAATTCTAAGGGCGTCTCCGAGGGAATAGAAATTTTGGCTAGAAAATGAGGTTTTAAAATGACCAGTAATGTGGCTGAATTGGAACTTCTTAAATGGATTATACCATAAACTGACACCATTTTATGTAAGGCAAAAAAATGTGTATTGATAATAATGGCTTTTACTCATTTCAGGTTTAAAAAGTAAATCATATCTGTGTATTGTTCTTTTAGAAGAAAGGTAATATTTTACAGTTTTTATTGACTTTATTGCAGCTAGTGGTCAGAAGTTATATGTAAGGCTCTTTCAACGTAAATTAACGTGGATTAAAATGAACAAATTAGAATATGAAGAGATTGCTCCAGACTTAACACCTGTGATTGAAGAATTGCAACATGCAGGCTTTGTACAGACAGGTATGATTGGTGGAAGGAACTGTGGAATGAAAACGTGAGCTGAAAATCTCAGTTTCTGCTGAATGATGGTAGCACTCAGATGGTGGCATCTTCTGGTTGGTGCTTGGTAAATAGTAATTGCTTATTTTTTTAAGCAAAGTTTTTAATCTAGGGTAACAAATTACTCATGTGATGCTAAAGCCATTCATAACTTGGGTTAAAACCAATATCATAGTGATCTAGTGTTGCTTTCCTTCCTGGCCCAGGTTTACAACCATAAAGTCACGTGTTGTGCCACAGAAGAATTACATTTCAGCTTTTCCAGCAAGAACTTAATTTATCTGACTCAGACGCCCATCTTCGTGGTAGAATGAAGCTGGCTTGTTTACAATCAGTATTGTCTCTGAGATCTTCTACCCCCATATGCACATACCCCCATATGCACACACATACGGTTTTTATACACTGATTGCCTGGAGAATTGTTAAATTGATTTAAATCCATGTGAACACTAAAGGAGACTGTTTTCTCCAGTGATACACTGCATTGTCTTATTATAGCATTAAGTACCTACTTGTACAATAATTTGGAAAATTAGCTATAAGGAAAATGGAAGATGAGATCTTTGGGTTCAGATTGCTGACACTTTAGATAAGGGAAGCAAATGAGCCCAGATGTTTTCTTTCGAGTAGAGTCCATAGTTGGGAACAGTAGGTAAAGATGAAGTTATGGTAATTGTTAGGATGGGGCCGGGTAGGGTGACATGGGAAATGCTGGGTGGAGATTTCCTCCTGGCTCAGCGAAGGAGACTGACACATGTACTTGTTACTGTACTCAGGTAACTCCTTGTGGACAAGCACATTGTTATTCACTGTCGTGTGCACAGGGCCTTAGAACATTACTGGGCATGCAGTGCACGACCAGTAAACATTCATTGCTCGGAAGAACGTGCTGCCCTAAACTGTGACTGTGAAGGCAGAGACCAGCCCGGTCTGACTCAGCCAAATGCCCAGGGCCTGCTGTGGTGTCTGGTCACACAGAGGCAGGACATATTCCTGGCTGTGGAGAGAGTGAGCTGATGAAAGGGCTCCCAGCCTCTAGCACATGCGCAGGGAGCGGGCATGGGGAGGAGAGAGCTGATTATCTGTTTACTGTGACCTGGTGGCGAGATCCCCTTGGAGCTTCTGTGATGAGAAAGATGGAAAGTAATTCAGTAAGTTTAAAGTAGGATGCCCAAATCATAATAGCTATTACTGTCTTCTTTGTTATAGTCTCATTGTCCTATACTTTTTAGTGAGAAATTCTGTTACTCTTGCCAAACTAGCTCTTGGTTTCAGCGAATGTGGTAAAGTTTCATTGTATTTTTGTCTAGCTAAGCTTCCTTCTTCCTCAAGTGAGGAAGCTAGAAAATAGTTACATTCCTTAACATAGTTTTAATTTATTTTTGTCCTCGGGAATGCTTTTAGAATCTGAGTTACAAGAGCTCTCTGAAGTACTTGAACTCCTTTCTGCTCCTGAACTGAAATCCCTGGCCAAGACCTTCCACCTGGTGAATCCCAATGGACAGAAACAGCAGCTGGTAGATGCCTTTCTCAGATTGGCCAAGCAGCGTTCAGTCTGCACTTGGGGCAAGAGTCAGCCTGGAATTGGAGCCGTTATTTTAAAAAGGTCTGTTGACTATTACAATGGTGACACTCAGTTTCAATAGCTGGGCTGGGGGAGGAGCTCAGAGGAGGAGCACTTGCCTAACCTATGTGAGGCCCTTGGAAAAACCATACAAAGTTCATAGTATATTACTTTGTCATTATGGATTGTTTACTTTTTTGTGTGTCAATTCATATTCTTTTTTTTGGTACCGGGGATCAAACTTGGGACTTTGCACCTGCAAGGCATGCAGCAGAACCACTGAGTTATATCCCCAGCCCTTTACTTTTGTTGAATTATAATTGCTTATTTGAGTTGGAATTAGATTGAAAAGTCTGGAGGAACCTTAATTATAATAGCCTGTATTCTTTCTTTGCGTATTATTCAAAATTCATGTTGTAAGTCCATACTAATTTCTAGGACCAAGGAAAAATCAGTAGATAATAGGACAAAGACACTAGGCCTTTAGTAAATTCTAGTATTTTATTACTGAAGAAAAATAGTTTTAATTCTGTTCTTACAGACTGTAGGGCAGCTATTTAATCAAACTTTTTTTTTTTTTGGTACCAGGGTCAGACTTTTTAAGTAATAAATTTCTGTTGACATGTAATTAGTCTTTTTTTTTTGGTACTGGGGATCGAACTCAGGACCTTGCCCTTGCGAGGCAGGTGCCAGAACCACTGAGCTAAATCCCCAGCCCTATGTAATTAGTCTTAATACACAAGGCCTCATGGCAGGCTAGGTGAGTAGTTGTACTAAAATCCTTTAAGATTGTACTTGTTTATTCATTTTGATGTAGTTTCCAGCAGTGGAATTTGATATTTTTTTTTGAGACAGGGTCTTGTTATGTAGCTCAGGCTGGCCTTGAACTCACTATGTAGTCCAAGCTGGCCTCAAACTTGTGGCAGTCCTGCCTCAGCCTCCCGAGTGCTGGGATTACACTGGTGTGTACCACCATACCTGGCAGCAGTGGAATTTGAGTGAGTTTCCGATAGATCCAAATTAGGGCAGTTCCTGGTTGTCTTTCTCTACCGTTACCATGAAGAAACAGAAAAAAGTGCGTTATTTGTACTTTTAAATCCTAATAGGGAATCACTGCTTTGTTTTCCATGTTTAATGCTTCCTCCTGTAGCCCAGGCCATCCCTGGGGCTCTGTCCGCAAATGGAGGAAGTGGGCATTACCCCTCCCTCCCGCCCTCCCTCCCTTTTTTCTTTTCTTCCTTTGGAGCCCTAGGGATTGAATCCAGGGACTCATGCATGCTAGGCACATGTTTTACCCCAGCCTAGAAGTAGGCATTTTTGAGCAGTCTGTAAGATGAGTGTACTTAATAAAATGGTAGTTTGGTGGGGATCCTGCTGTGCTCCCCTTAGGTCTCTGATTACATCTGGGGACATTCTGACTGTCACCACTGGGAAACATGATGCTAATAGCGTCTTGCAAGTAAAGGCCAGGGATGCTGTTGGGAGCCCTGTAATGCATGGTGTAGACCCTACAACAAAAAACTATCCAGCCCATATATCGGTAGTGCTGAGGCTGAGAAGTCCTGCTATCCATAGACTCTGAACGGTTAGAATCAGAGCACCCTTGCTGCCCTAGATTTAATTCAGACCTCCAAGCTAACTTTGTAGACATCCAGAATTGAACTGAGTTCATTCTGAGATTACCCCGTCTCAGCCTTCCAGAGTGCTGGGAATATAGGTGTGCACCACTATCCTCAGTGCTGTTTATCTTTATAACCTGAAAATAACTTGTATAATATGATGTACAAATGCTTCAAAACCAGAAAAGTATTTCTGTAATGTCCATTTCAGAGCTAAAGCCTTGGCTGGACAGTCACTGCGAGTCTGTAGAGGTCCCAGGGCTGTGTTTGCTCGGATCTTACTCCTGTTTTCATTGAGTGACTCTATGGAAGAAGAAGAAGGTGCTTGTGGTGGTCAAGGTCAGCTTTCCACAGTGCTTTTGGTCACTCTTGGCCGAATGCAGTTTCCTAGGTATACCATCAATCGGAAAACCCAAATCTTCCAAGACAGAGAGGATCTTATCAGGTAGGATCATGTTAACTCATCATAATATTTATTCACATTTAATGCAAGGTTTTATTATTTTTCCTTCCAGGCAAAGTAGAAATATTAGGTCCACAGCCAAATGCATTCTGAAGTATATAGTTTCTGTTATCTTTTTGCCTTACATGAATGTATTTTAAGTCTCCAGGGAGAATGTAGAAATGTGCTTAGATGAACGTTGCCAAGTGCAGTGGGTTTTGAGTTAGCACTATAAAAATTTTCCCTATCTTCTGTTCCCAAGTAGTTTTGGCAGGAAGCACTTTTTTAGTACAGATATTTTAACAAACCTGCCTTGTGGATATTTTATTAGCATGAACAAGACAGGAGATGAATGTTTTTCTGTTACTAAAACTTACTGGTAGTAACCATGAAGCTGATAATTTGTACCCAGTATATTAGAATCATATACATGGTAAATGAGAAGTTTCACTGTAATAACTTGTACACAGTGTATTAGAATCCCATACATGATATCTTAGAAATTTTCACTAATTTATATTACTACTTGGATTTAATGAGAATTTAGTTTAATCAGCAAAAGTAGGCTTTTTTGTGTGTGTGTGTGGTTCCAGGGATTGAACTCAAGATCTCGTGCTTGTGAGGCAGGCACTGCACCAGTGAGCATTAAATCCCTGGCCGAAAAGTAGACTTTGATAAGAAAGAATATAGTTCTTACAGAAAAAAAAAAATACTTGGATTTCCTTTTTAAAAAACCTTTTGAGGGCCGGGGATTTAGCTCAGTGGTTCCACTGCCTGCCTCACAAGTGCAAGGATCCAAGTTCGATCCCTGGTACCAAAAAAAAAACCCTTTTGGGCCAGGGATGTAGCTCAGCGGTACAGCACCTGTCTGCAAGCATAAGGCCCTGAAATCTATTCCTGGTACCAGAAAAAATTAAAAATAAAAACACCTTTTATAAGAAAAATGAATTTGGGTTTCTTAAAATGTCACTTTAGATTCTTGATATAAATTTTTGAGTAAAACTTAACTAAAATTGATTCAGATAATTACTTTTGGGGAAGTTCTTTCAGTGTTGTACAGAGCAGCCATGTGCTTTAGAGAGAAAGTTACTGAGCTAATAGAATGAAAGCAGTTTCACCGTAAACCGACTTCTGCCCCTTTGCCTCACCTGTCAGGAAGCTCATTATCCAGTTTGTGTTTAATCAGAGTAACTTTCTTAGCCAAGCCTCCTAACAGGAATATTTCTTCTTGCCCGTTTTCATGGTCTCATGTCATTTTACCGTTTTTGTCTGAAGTGCTTTTGTGCTTTTCTCTTGTATGAGGTTGTGTGCTCTGAAGCCAAGCTCCAGTGTCACTGTACTACTCATGGGTTCTGAAACTACTCTGTGCCTCACTTCCCTTCTCCGAAAAATGGGGAGAGTGACAGTCTCTCCTTACAGATATGTGTAGCTTCATGGATAGTGCCTAGTATATGTTAGTTATTATTCTAATTACTGTTATATCTAAAGGGTTTACTTTTTAGTTCTGTGATTGACAAAACATAGCTCACAAGTTCATAAGTGAGGGGACTAGGGCAAAAAAGTAAAGCATCTCCTGTTCTCTGTACAAGGTAGCTATGCTGTAATTAAATAGTTACAACTCCCTTTGTAATGCCAAGGCCTTGACACGTACATGCAGTTGGGCCGGACTGACTCAGGAAGGGTCACCTTATACAGTACTGGCATGCGATACCTGGCCTAGGAGCCCTTTTTACTCACTTCTGTCCTGGAGTCCTGGAGAGAATTGATCTTCATATATTCAGTAAGAACAAGTTGAGTGTCAGGTACCTGTTATGTCCCCAGGTAGTGGAGTTGCAGCAGTGAACGAGACGGGTGGCTGCCATTAGTGGGTTCCAGTTCCCTGGAGAGCTAGATAACAGACAGAGTAACCACGTGTGTGCAGAGTGCTGTATGTAGCAAGTGCGGGCAGGCTGGAGAAGGTCCGCCTTACAGATAGATGGTGTCGGGGGTGGCCTGTCGGGTGACCTTGGAAATGAGACTCGAGAATGCCAAGGAGGAGCTGTGTCAGGGGCGGGGTGCTGTGTCCAGACAAGGAAGTGGGCTGTGAGGTGAGGCAGGGCTGGCCGGGATGGAGCAGCTGCAGCAGTTCAAAGGGAAGTCACGCAGGGGCCAGGCCCGCAGGGCCAGAGGATGCTCAGCCCCAGAGCCCTGCTGTGCAGACGGAAGCTGTTCTCTGAGCACTGGGAAACTTTCAGGTGGTTAGGCCGCTGAGTGATTGGTTCCTGTTTTTAACCAAAGCAGCCTGTGGACAAGAGAAACAAGAGCAGCCGTCGTCGGTAGACTAGGTGGCGCCCAGCCACGGCCACCTGGACTGGATGAGAGGCAGGGGAATGTCTGGGGTTTGGGGAAGTACAAAAGACGGGCTGGGTTCTTGATTAGACTCGGGGCAGAAGGGAGGAGTGGCCGGGGTGGGCAGGGGCTGTGAGAGGCGGCACTGCCCTGCGTTTCGGTGGGGTCACCTTAGCTGCCTGGTGACCATGACGCTGTTCTGTGTGGCCTTGGAGGTGCTGTCTGGAGCTCAGGGAATGGAGTCATTGGCCCGTGGCTGGGGCTTCAAGCTGTAGAGCCGAATGAGGTTCCTGAGGGAGAAGAGAAGGCGGTTTCCTGGGCAGCCGGCATTCAGATCCTGGGTAGAGAGGAGCCGCGGCCAGGAAGCAGGAGGACACTGCTCAGGAGGTGTGGCTCGGAAGCCTGGCAGGGAGGCATCTCAAGGATGAGCGGCCACTCGCCTGGAGTTGGAGAGGGGGCTGAGGAAACAGGGCCCGAACAGGGCGTCCCTACCAGGCCATGCAGTCCCTGTTTCCTCACCAGCTTCAGTGTCAGTTGTCCAGTAGCAGACCATGACATGATTAGGCTTAAGGGTCTGCGAGCACACTTTTATATCTGGAGGAAATTTCTTTTTTTCTCAGTGTACAGTGTTTGTGCCCACTGATACTTCATGGCTTTCTCTTAGACATGAATCCGAAACATGGTGAATATGTATTCAAAGTGTTATAGAAGCCACTGGTCAAATGACTTTGTTTTTGGTATCTAAAGAAGCGATGAAAAATTGTCTGTCTTCAGCTAAGTGGTATTCATAAAATGTCAGCATTGCTCTCTTTTAAACTGTGTCCCTGAAATTATTTTTGAAATATCCTAGGTAATTCTTTTAGCTTGGGCAGCATCCTTCTGGTTACAGCTGGTCATGAATGATTTAAGTTATCAAATCAATGTCTTATTATGATTCTGGAGTTAGTCACATGTCTACTTGGTGGCTGCCAGTAAATGAATGAATGCTACAAGCCAGGACGGTGAGCTGACCAATGTCACATTCATATAATGGGACTTGTGAAGGAATCATGCAGTGTAACTATTTATCTTTCTTGCTGGGCAAGCTTTATCAGTTCTTCTGGGCCATCCCAGTGAGGTAGCTAGGTTAAATTATTACTAAACCTTCAGATTTTTAAAAGCATGCTTTGATTCCTGGGAGTTTGCTCTGGTGTCTGGGAGGTGGTAATTTGTATGGGAACACTCCTTAACATTTGAAGCTTGCATGGCGTCTCCCCCAGATATGCAGCGGCTGCACACATGCTGAGTGACATTTCCACCGCCATGGCCAGTGGGAACTGGGAAGAAGCTAAGGAGCTCTCTGACAGTGCAAAAAGGGAATGGAACAAACTGAAAAACCACCCTTCCCTGAGGTGAAACTTTCTTTTTTTGGTACTAGGGATGGAACTCAGGGCCTTGCATATGTTGGCCAAGTGCTCAGCCAATGAGCCATACCTCTAGTGAGTTATTTTAGGTACCTGCCAAAATGTATTTATTCTAACGTCTTAAGCAGAACCTACTCTTAAAAACATACTCCCTTTGCCTTGCAGTCACCTCACTGGCAGAATTGGAATTTTCTACCCGCTTTGCATAGAGTCAGAGTGCTGTGTGAAATAGAAGGCGATGGCAGAGTTTAAAGTGAACTTTATGTTTGTCACTCAGAGGCCTGGACAGTGGACATTCATTCTGCTGTTAGCCTGCCAGCATCTTTCAGGGTGTGGCCTCCCTGAGCACTGCAGAGCTGACTTTACGTGTGAGGGCGAAGACTAGGTTTGTTCTGCTGATGGAGACTCAAGCCTGTGGCATTCTGAAAAGACAGCACAAGTGAACATTCACCTTCCGAGAGCACAGTGCATATCTCCCATTGTTCTAATAAACATTAAATACCTGCAGCATTACAGAGAATTTTTCCTATATGATGCATAGTGATGAGAAAAGCTAGGATTATCCAGTGCTTCTTTCATAAAAATATTTAGGATACACATTTTATGAAGAATAATGTTGACAGAAAAGTCATAGCCAGGAAATTAGAAGCTAGATTACCAAAGAGCAGAGATTGCTAAACTTCTGTAAAAAGCCAGTCAGTCAGTTTTCGTGGCCGTGCGGGCCATGGGCGCTCTGTGGAGCAGCATGGCTGGGTTCCCCTACCCTTCGTTTATGCACATCGAGGCTCGGGTTCAGTGGAACTGTCACGTGCCACAGTAGTACTCTCCTTTGGATTTATTTCATGTATTTAAGATGGTAGAGACCTGCAGGGAGGGATGAGAAGTGGTTGATCTATGGGTAGTAGTTCCGTCGGATAGCAGTAAGAAGTCCTGGTGCACTGTGACACGGTAGGTAGTGTGAGTGTGGATAGCGGATGTGGGTTGTACGCTCAGGTTAGAAGAAAGGATTTTGAGTGTTTTGCCATAGTGAAGGGATAAAGGTTGGAGGAGATAGGTATGTTAACTGATTGCACAATGGGGACATGTATCGAAACATCACAGTACCCCATGGTGTACAAATATATGCGATTTTTGTGTTTTTACATATGAGAAAACTTTAAAAAGAAATAATAGCCACATATACAGAAAAGTAAATAATAAAATCATTTTAGAAAAGGTAAAACTATTTTGCTTGTGTTAGGGCTGGGAAGATTAGGAGGGTTGGCACTGGCCCGAGGGCTGGTCTGCTGCCCCCATCGACAGTGTTACCAGTGGGGTCCTCTGACCCCATCATCCAAGCTGCCTAGGTCGGGATGGCTCACTGTGAGAATGTGGGTTTGTGGGGAAGAAAACTGTGCGTGACTGGAAGTAGTTAGAATATAGCTTTTTAAAAGAATTCAGTGTTCTTTGCCACTTCGTGTAGTTGTCTTACAACAAAGAAACTAAATCATTAACCATTGTTATTAGTTCTAAGTATTAACTGGTGTGTAATTTCACTTTAGGTACCATGAGGAGTTACCGCTCTTTCTGCGGTGTTTCACGGTCGGGTGGATTTATACACGGATTTTGTCCCAGACTGTTGAGATACTGCAGAGGCTTCACCTGTATGAGGTTAGAGCTCTGTCCCTGTACCCATGTGAGGGGAACCCCGCTGGGCTGTCAGCGTTGCCCGAGTTTAATCAGCACACAGTAATACGATGAAAGCGTATCTGATGTGGGCAGTCTGCTGTGTCTTAGCTTAGCAGAGACACCGCTTAAGACCAGCACCTGCCTTATTCATCTGTGAGCGGATGAGTCCATGCGCAGGGTGGCCCGGGGTCATGGATGGGCCTACAGGGACACCCAGACAGGTCTCTGCAGCCTGAGCCTGAGTCTCTTGGAGCTCAAGGAGCTTCCCCAGAGTCTCTGGGGCCAAAATCTCACCTCTCCTTATATTTCCAAGTCAGTCTCAGGTGGTCTGGATAGTTACGTGTCAGAAATGTGGTCATATCTTTGTACCAAACATTGTGAAGTTGTCAGGTTCTCTTTTGTAGTGTTTTGATATTTTGATATCAGAAAGTGACATTTTAAAAAGAGGATGTGCTAAGCTGAGTTCTTAACCTGGGGCTGTGAAGCTCAAGAGGACCCATGGATGGGCTTTAGGGAGCCCACGAGTCTCCAGATTGCATGTGTACAGGGGTTTGTGCATTTTGCTGGGTAAGCAGACTTTCAAAGAGATCCATGAACCACAGAAGATGACCATAAAGAAGGAACAGTTGCTGCATAAATCTGGACCAGAGGGTCTCCCTGCCTGCATGGGGTATCTGAATGAGGCCGGCCTCTGCCTTCCCCAAATCCCTGCTGCTCGGAACCTCAGCCAGTGCTCAGCTGGAGCTTGGTCCCATGGGACTTGGCATTGTGCAGTGCTCACACACCTGGGAAGCCCCGCTGTCAGTAAGCAGGGGTCTGGGGCAAAGTAGGGATGCCTCAGGGAGCTCCATCCCACATAGAAGGGCATCTCGGGGTCCCTGTGTGTCTGCTCTGGTCTGTAGCCTTAGCATGGAAAGATACACAGCATAAATATTCTTTGCCAATCCTTTCTGCTTCTAAATATAATTACAGTGGATTGTTTTAGAGTCTAATGAGCTGTCTTTGTTATTGTTGCAATAGGAAGCTGTCAAGGAACTTGAAAACCTTTTGTCTCAGGAAATCTATTGTCCTGACAGTAGAGGCCGATGGTGGGACCGACTGGCTCTGAACCTGCACCAGCACCTGAAGCGCCTGGAACCGGTTGGTACTCAGGGGACACTGTCTTAGTCACTGGACACAGTTCCTGACACCCACAGCTTAAGGAGGAAAGGTTTATTTTGGCTCACAGTTTCAGCCTGTGCTTTGCTGGCTCCTAGCCGAAAGGGGAGGGACGAAGGGCTAGAGGAAGAAAGTTGCTCACACCATGGCAGCCACGAAGCAGAGGAAAGGGAGGGACCACGGATAAGAATACACCCTTTGAAGTGAGGAACCCAGTGACACCTCCAGCCAGGCCCACCTCCCACCGCACATCAGCTCTGAACTCATCCAGGGAGGCATCCACTGATGAGTGTGACGCCCGCGTGGTCCAGTCACCTTCTACACACACGAGAACTCAGGGACACTCCAGATCTAAACTATAGCATGTATCCAAAGCTCTTCTTACTTCCAGATGAATTTTTTAAACAGGACAAACGTTTAAGCTTCTGCTCTTTTCTTCTCTTCATGCTGCGGACAAAACCCAGGGCCTCACACTTGCTGAGCAGGCACTTTACCACTGAGCTGCAGCCCCAGCCCATTAAATATTTTAGAGCTCTAAATGTAATTGGAACATTTCTTTCTTTTCTTGACATTCTTTTAGTTTTTCCAACCCCAAAAGATATACCCTGGATGACACCAGTACAAGTATTAAGATGAAGACAGGAGGCCGCTCACTGCCTTTGCTGACTGGGAGCAGGATTGGCAGGGAACTGTGTTGGGATTCCCGAGTTCGGATCTAGGAATCAAGGGAGAGGGAGGGTGAGATGTCACAGCCCTCAGCAGGTGTCGGCAAGGTTTTTTGGGTTTTTTGGTGTTGGAGATCAGACCCAGAGCTTTGTGCAAATGCTCTCCCATTGGGTTATACCCGCAGTGGGTTTTTTTTCTTGGAAATGGTAATGTGCTTATTGTGCAGGCTGAATAAAGTACCCCTTTCCTTATCCTGTCCCAGGTGCTTTGAGAGTAGCTCTTCGTACTTAGATGAGGTGTATGGCTCTGCCATGCACAGGACAGACTAACCCTGAGCAGGCCGCTTCCTCTCAGCGCACCAGGGCTCTCTGTGCTGAGGTTCTTGAGGACTTGAGCAGAAGGATCCTGTTGCTGCAGTGAGCAGGCAGGGTGGGGCCTCCAAGGCTGCACAGTGGCTCTTTGTGCAGCTACCGACCGTCCTCTCTGGGCTCCATTCCAGCCCTGCATTTGAGTTGAATGGAGAGGTCTGTGCCTCGGGGAGGTTTGATTTTTTCCAGGGGCACATTAAGTGAATCAGAGTGATGTAGGAGTGGAAAAAAATTGGCCATGGAATGTGGAACTATGACATGGTGTTTTTATTCCTTCCACTGAAAACTGCCTGTTACCTCGGGTGCCCGAGACAAGGCTCGTGGGAGCTGTGTTCTGTTGTGAAGGTGGGCGTGGTGCCTCCCGTCTGGGTGCTGGTGGAGGCTGATGTAGCCAGGGAAGGCTTGGGTGTCTAGAACCAAGCCTGAAGGGAGCAGACCTCTGTTTGTGCGCCTCTTTCATTGCAGCAAAGATTCAAAGATGTAACAGATCATGTGACTGCGCTGTGCTCTGCACAGTCACTCGGGGCCCTAGTGGTGGACAGGCCACTGAGCTTACTTTGGATGCTGAGAAACTTCTCATCCCTCATAACATTTCCCAGCCATCCCCCCCAGCCACACTCGTGGGTCTGCTTCCTGGGCAGCATTCTTTCTATGCTTACTCCTACGAAGTGCTGGGCAGCCAGCGGGGACTCGGGCAGAGGTGGAGTGGCCTGGCCTTTCCTCTGCACCAGGCCTCTGCTAACCGTGTGCCCTGCTGGGGACAGAGCATGCACCAGGGTCCCCTTTTCACTCCTGGACTCCATTTGTGCCTCAACTCCTCATGACTTGAGCTTCATTGATTTTTTGGTTTCCTTTTTTATTTTTCTTTTGTGATAAAATATATGTACACATAAAATTTGCTATTTGAACAGTGTTTATTTAAGTGTACAATTCAGTGGCATTAATTATGCGCACAGTGTTGTACCGCTATCACTTCTGTCACTTTGTCATCCCAAACAGAAATTGTGTAACCACAAAGCAACTACGCTCCATTCTCCCTTCCCCAGCCCCTGCTAACCTCCAAGCTGTCTGTCTCCATGAACAAGCCTGTTCTAGGTGTTTCATGTCCTTTTGTTTTGTGGCTTATTTCACTTAGGACAATGTTTCCAACCTTCATCCATATCACTGCATGCAGACTGGCTGAGTGATGCTCCATGGCACTGTCCATGCAGTTGGTTTGTCCAGTCATCCAAAGATGGACATGGGCTGCTTCCACCTTTGGGCTGTGTGGGAAGTGCTGCGTGAACACATATGTACCAGTGCCTGTTTGAGTCTTGTTTTGAATTCTCTCGGGATATACCTGGAGGTAGAATGGCCAGGTCACTGGTGGTTTTATGCTTAGCTGAGGAGCCCTGAACTGTTCTTTACAGACTTTGCACCATTTTTACACTCCTACCGGCAAGGCATGAGGTTTCCAGTTTCCCCACATCCTTGCCTATACCTCTTATTTTCCACTTTTCTGATTATAGACATCCTAGTAGGTGTAAAGCGGTCTCTTCTGGTGGTTTCTGGTGTTTTGGTTTCTCTTTCTCTCGGTAACCTGAGGAAATAGGTTAAACTCCTCCAAAGCCTTGGTCCGACTTCCTGTAAGTGAGGGATCTCCCAGCTCCGTGGTCCTGGCTGCATGTGAGTCCCTGGACCCCTGCACCAAAGCCGCTCATTCTTCGGGTTGGGTGTGGCGTGTGTCTTCTTTCACAGCTCCCCAGGTATGTCCCTCTAAGGTCTCTTGCAGGTCACACTGTCTGTGAGGAGGTGGCCACTGGGATCCACTGTCCACGCGGGCATCAGGCATTTGTGCCAGCATCACATTTACCGTGAGGGTTAAGAGTTGACCTGTTACTGAAAACATCAGAATCAGAACGCTGTCTACAGAAAGAGCTTGTGTCTCTAGAAGTGCTGCTTACTTGTTTGCTGGTTAGCAGAACTGAATCATTAGAAGCGGAATTTCCTGTCCGATTAAATGAATGCATGATTCCATCGGGCCTTCTGGGATCCTGATGTGTGATGCCTTACTTCTAGGCTGTCAGATGCATCGCTGACGGGCTGGCGGATCCACAAGTAAGGACAGGGCACCGCCTTTCGCTCTATCAGAGAGCCATGCGCCTGCGGGAGTCCCCGAGCTGTAAAAAGTACAAGGATCTCTTCTGCCGGCTGCCAGCAATAGCTGTGGAAGATGTTAAACACGTAAGTGTGTGTCTGCTGGGCTCTGGCGCTCGAACCCAGGTCCTCAGGCATGTGAGTGTGTGCTCAGCCACTGAGCCGCCTCCCCAGCTCCACTCTGGGCGCATTTACTTGCCTAAGCAGATTCAGTGTGTATTTCCTTCTGAACTTAGAAAGCCTCACATGTACTTCCTACAGTGATGTGGTCACTGCTCACCCTGTCACCCTAGCGCCCTCCTCCCTGGTGGGACTGGGCAGGCAGAGTGGCCACTCCTGGGCTGGAGGAACTCGGTGTCTGCCACTGTGCGCCCTCCTCAGGGCCTCTGGAGAGCTGCTGCGATGCCAGGCGCTCTCCAGTGGTGGGATGTGACCTGCCACGTTCCAGCGTGGGCCGTATCTGCGCTCCGAAGTCATGGCTGTGAGGGGAGGAAGGGTTATCCTCGGGACGGCCTCAGCTGGCTGAGGCTGATG